CCCAGGGTACTAGCTGACTCCACCTCTTCCTATTGAGCCTGCTCTCTATGTAGGTCCTGCAAGCCCCCAGTGGCTTCCTGGCTGTCAGGGAGAGACTCAGGAGCATTTCCTCCCCACAGTCCGACGGTGGCCCCAGGAAGGGATCCAGGTCAGTCTGTCCAGATCAGTGAAGAGTCCAACTGTCACTGAGAGTTGGACCTCAAAGAACAGGCATTTCCAGGCTGGGAATGGGGAGCAGGAGAGGAAAAGGCCTAGAGGCCAGGGGAGAGCAGTTGACGGGAGGCTAGAGGGACGGAGCTTCTAGAATCAGGGAAGTACCCAAGGGGAGGATTGTGAGACGATCTTCGGGGTTCCCACCTGACCAGCTCCTGCCAGTGGAACTCCTGGAAGAGCAAAGTGCATGCTCCTGTTTGGCTCTGGGGCATAAGAGGTTTGGTAAGGGAGTGAGGGGCTCAATGACAATCAAAACTGACATTAGTCCAATCTTCTTTATTTGTATTGTTAAGTAACACTGGAATAGTGCAGGAATAGTGCAGAAAGTTCTGTGTGCTCTTCACTCGGCTGCCCTTAATGCCCACATCTTCCATGGTACAACTTTTGAAATCAGGAAACTAACACTGATACTGTACTGTCAGGCATTCTATAAACTTTTCTCCAGTTTGCTCATTTCCCCACTAATGTTGCTTCTCTGGTCCAGGGTCCTAACCAGGATCCCACATTGCATTTAGCTGTCCTAGCTCTTCAGCTCCTTTAATCTGGGACAATACTTCCGTCTTTATCTTGACCCTTTTGAAGAGTTCTGATCAGTTATTTTTGTACAATGAATTTCCATTTGGTCTTGTCTGATGTTTCCTCATTACAACTTTTTTTTTTTTTGAGACGGAGTTTTGCTCTTGTTGCCTATGCTGGAGTGCGATGGCACGATCTCGGCTCACTGCAACCTCCACCTCCCGGGTTCAAGCTATTATCCTGCCTCAGCCTTCCGAGTAGTTGGGATTACAGGTGCACACCACCATGCCTGGCTAATTTTTTGTATTTTTTAGTAGAAACAGGCTTTCACCATGTTAGCCAGGCTAGTCTTGAACTCCTGACCTCAGGTGATCAGCCTGCCTTGGCCTTCCAAAGTGCTGGGATTACAGGTGTGAGCCACCATGCCCAGCCCATTTATTTTTAATTTATGAGTAATCCTATTCATTATCAAAAGTTGTGAAAGCACAGAAATATTATGCAATCCATATTTGTGCCTATACTCATATATGTGCCTATTTGATGGGGTTATTCTGGACCGCCCATTCTGCACCTGCTTTTCCCATAAATTAGTGTTCCTATCACAGAAATAGAATCATGTCTGCCTTACATCCGGGGTAAGGGATGGGGAGGTAAATGGGAAAAGGGGAGAACATCAAGGTGGGTGGGCGATTCTAATCCCATTGAGCAGAAGATGTGCTGGCTGGAAAGGCGAATGCAGAATCAGCCTAGCACAGACCCCCTCTGCCTCAGTCTCCTGGGGGTACAGCCGCTGCTGCCCACTGGGGCTGACCCTAGAGCACCAGGCCTTAGGGACCCAGCAGATTCTGTCTCAGGGCCTGAGGCCTCATGGATAGGCCTATGTTTTTCTAAGGATGTGAGTTCAGAGAGTGGGTCATAACACCAGGCCAGCAAAGAGGGACAGAGAATGTGAAATCCAGTCATGGGATTTGAGATTCAGATGCTGTCCATGGTGGGGGCAGCCCAGGGAGGACCTTCCTCTTCACGGAATTCAAGAGCAGGCCCATGCTGTTGACCTTCCATATGAACAAAGGGCCAAAAACGCCAGGAAAGCAGAGTCAGACAGGGGCTCAAAGGAGGCCCAAGCTGCTCCCCCAGCTCTCCTAGGCCCTAAACCATCCCACTGGCCAGGCTGGCTTCCCTGTGCTTCCTGATGATGACAGACTTGAATGGGCCAGGCCACGGGAATCTGCAGTTTCTACCACCTCTGCTTCCCTGATCCTGCTCTCATAGATTGCTGCCTAAAATAGTTGATTTTCAGGTCTTCGTCGTTAAAATTCACATTTTTTAAACTCTTTATTTTGTAGTAATTATAGATGTATAGGAAGTTGCAGAGATAGCTCAGACAGGCCTTCTGTACCATCCCAAGCCTCCCTCAGTGGCTGCAGCTTTTCTAAAGATAGTACAGTGTCAGAGCCAGGAAGCTGCCCTTGGGGCCTTGCAGCTCCACTTTTCTAAAGTGTGAGGATTCAGGAAATCACCACCACATCAAGCCACACAGCTGCCTGCTGCTCACCACAAAGAGCTCCCTTGTGCTAGCATTTTAGGAAGTCCCTCCCCCATCCCAGCCTCCCTCACCCTCTTCTAAACAGATCCCTGAAAGCCATTACTTCCTTCCCTATAATTTGGTTATTTCCATAAAGTCATGTAAATCAGTGGCACCATGCAGTATGTGAGCTTCAAGGGTGGCTTCTTCCACCCAGCACGCTGCTCTGTAGTCCATCTGAGCAGCAGCGGCATCAGTAGCTCACTGCTGCTTACTGCTGAGTAGCGTCTGTGGAATGGATTCGCTGGCGATCATGCAACCATCCACCCATTGAGAAACAGTTTGCTTGTTTCCAGTTCTGGGCTGTTCCAAATAAAGCTGCTGTGAACACTCGTGTGCAGCCTTTTCTGTGGGTGTAATGTTCACTTCTCTGGGGAAAATGCCTTGTGTGATTGCTGGGTGTACTAAGTATATGCTTTCTTTTTTTTTTTTTTTTTTTTTTTTTGAGACGGAGTTTTGCTGTTGTTGCCCAGGCTGGAGTGCAATGGCGCGATCTCCGCTCACCGCAACCTCCGCCTCCTGGGTTCAAGCAATTCTCCGGCCTCAGCCTCCCGAGTAGCTGGGACTACAGGCATGCACCATCATGCCCAGCTAATTTTTGTATTTTTAGTAGAGACGGGGTTTCACCTTGTTGACCAGGATGGTCTCGATCTCTTGACCTTGTGATCCACCCTCCTCAGCCTCCCAAAGTGCTGGGATTACAGGCTTGAGCCACCGCACCCGGCAGTATATGCTTTATTACAAAACTGATGAACCGTTTTCCAGAGCGGCTGGAAAATAACTTTGCATTTTACATTCCCGCTAGTAACTTATGAGATTGTAGCATTAAAGTTCATGTTTTATGCAGTTTACTGGTTAATTTAGATTTCTTATTTAAAAACAACATTAATTTCAAAATGTAACCTCCAAGTGTAAGGAAGCTTTGCATGGATGATTGTTAAGATGAGAACAGACATCCATTTATTTTCTCTCTCCTTCACGCAGCAAGTGTGAGTGCCTCACAGACCTGCCTTACTCTGGGCCAGCTGTCTGCAGGTGCTGAAGGACGACCATACCATTACCTGTATGGTATGAGCTGACTCTTCAGCTATTTTACAAGCTGAATGGTGGAAGCTGCAAGCTCACCCAGGTGACTGTGACCAGGGAAATGCTTTATGAACGGGAGTCCAGTAAATTCCTTTACCTGTCAACCTTGCCACTAGTTGACTTAGGAGATTTTTGACTCATTGAAAAAAACAGCTAAGAAGATTTCTAGGGCTCAGAAAGTTAAAAGGGGAGTCAGTGCAAACATTTTGATGTTGGATGTTTTCTTTGAGCTGCTTAACTTGTCTGTACATGGGTCAGAGGGAAATCCTATAAGGTCTTAGAAGTTCATCCCGAGCTCTTCCAGTTCAGCACATTTATCATGTCTTACCCAAATGGCCAGTATAGCCTTCATTCTAACATGTAGCTGCTTTTACTCTGTTTAAAGAGCCTGTTTGAAATTCACTGAAGCCAGTCTTAGGAGCCTCCCAGGATCCCCTAGGACTCTGTGTAGACTGAAAGTGACTGAATGGGTCTGTGGGAAGGAATCAGGGCTCCTATAAGGCCAGGACTTAGTCAAGTATCTTCCCCTTCCTTCTAAGATTTCCTTAGAAGCTGAGTTTTCCAAAAGGAAAAATCATCTCCCTTGCTTTCCTCTGTCCCCCTGTCAGCTCTCCATACTTCCAGGAGCAAGAAAAGTTAATTCAATTTGCCCCAGTTTTATTTCATCATATGCCTTTCACACTTCTGACTTTTTGCTCTTCTCCCTCTGTTCACTCCTCTCACTGCCACACAGCTTCTTCCCAACCTGGGCCAGGCTCCCACAGGACACAGCCCTTTCTTCCCTTCTGTTCTCCTGCAGAACGTGGGAGCCAGCAACCTCTGTGCCCATGAGACCCCTGAGTCCAGTTGGAATGATGCCTGAGGGTGTTCCCTGGAAGACAAGGAAGGGAGAACACAGGGAAAGGGAAGGCCTCGGCCTGGGAAAGAGCAAGGCCTCCCAGGAGAAAAGATAAGAGGGGCCATGGGATGGGAGTTGGGGTAAGCCTCCCACACTGGCTGTGGCCACCTTGGCTGCCCTCTGCCAGGCCCAGCCCCTACTCTGGGAGACCACAGTGTGTTCAGGTTCAGTAAAATAGAGTCAATCAGGATGGGGTCCAAAGCCTGCCTGGCTCTGCTGCCTCATCGCTGTGAGACCCTGGGCAGGTTACTTAACCACTCTGAACAGCAGTTTTCTCGACAATAGAAGGAGTAACAGGAAAGAGAAACCAGCATCCTGTAAGACAGCTGCAGGGTTTGGATACAGACTTCACAGGACATGTCAGGACAGGGCGAGTGAGTGCTCCATGATGTCAGCCTCTACTACTTTGTCCTTGGTGGTCACCGGACCTCTTATTGGAAAGTGAAGGTCTCAAGTGGGACCTAATTAAACTAAAGAGCTTCTGCACAGCAAAAGAAACTATCAACAGAGTAAACAGGCAACCTACAGAATGGTAGAAAATTTTTGCAAACTATGCATCTGACAAACATCTAATATCCAGCGTTTTTAAGGAAATTAAACAAATATACAAGAAAAAAAAACCTCATTAAAAAGTGGGCAAAGGATATGAACAGACACTTCTCAAAAAAAGACATTCATGTGGCCAATAATCATATGAAAAAGCTCATTATAACTGATCGTTAGAGAAAAGCATATTAAAACCCCAATGAGATATCATCTCCCACCAGTCAGAATGGCTGTTATTAAAAAGTCAAAAAATAACAGATGCTGGTGAGGGTGTGGAAAAAAAGGAACACTTTTACACTGTTGGTGGGAGTGTAAATTAGTTCAACCACTGTGGAAGACAGTGTGGCAATTCCTCAAAGACCTAAAAATAGAAATACCATGCAACCCAGCAATCCCATTACTGGGTATATACCCAAAGAAGTATAAATCATTCTTTTATAAAGACACATGCACACATATGTTCACTGAGGCACTATTCACAATAGCAACGACACAGAATCAACCTAAATGCCCATCAATGATAGACTAAAGAAAATGTGATACATACACATGATGGAATACTATGTAGCCATTTAAAAAGAATGAGATTATGTCCTTTGCAGGAACATGGATGGAGCTGCAGGCCATTATCCATAGCAAACTATCGCAGGAACAGAAAACCAAACACCGCATGTTCTCCTTTACACGTGGGCGCTAAGTGATGAGAATACATGGACACACAAAGGAGAACAACACACCCTGGGGTCTACCAGAGGATGGAAGGCAGGAGTAGGGAGAGAATCAGGAAAAATAACTAATGGATACTAGGCTTAATACCTGGGTGATGAAATAATCTGTACAACAAACCCCCATTATACACATTTACCTATGTAACAAACCTGCACATCCTGCACAGGTGTCCCAGAACATAAAACAAAAGTTTAAAAAAAAGGTCTCTTATAAGACAAATACAAATTGTAAGTCAGCAAGTGTTTATTGAGATGCTACTACTCTATGCTCTGCTCTTAGGGGGATACAAAAATAAGACAGTCACCAAGGGGTTAAGGTAAGGCATGGGCTTCTCCCCAAATGAATGGTGCAACTAACATGCACTGAGTGTGTGACCAGCACCCCAGGGCAGGAGGCAAGTGAAAAGCAGAGGCTGCACAGCCACAGCTGCCCAGAGGCCCCAGGAGCCAGAATGGCATCAAGACAAGCTGACTCAAAGACGAGGCTGACATTCTTGAGGGGCTTAGATTGAGGGGTAACACATTTGCTTGTACAAGAGGAGGACTGCCTAGGATCAGGAAGTAAATATATAAAGCCTGGACATAAGGGAAAGGGAAGACTAAATCCCAAGTATTCATTCAACCAATATTTGTTGGGCAGCTACTGCCATCTGCCAAGCACTGGTGATACAAAGATGAACAAGACAGACATGGCCCCTGCCTTGTGGAGGTTGATGGCTAATGAAAGAAATGGAGAACAGCCAAGGGAACCAATAAAGATTGCTGTGCCCGTCACAGTCCAGCAGGAAACAGAAGCCAAGACCAGTACTTCACACGGAGGATATTCAGTACAGGGGCTTGTTGACACAGTTGCTGGAAGGCAGAAAGAGCAGTAAGGGGGTGCTGAATAACCCAGAGAATAATAATCACTCGCAGCAGCTGCCACCCACCCCCAGAGTCAGGGACAGAAGGGCAACAGGGTCTGATGCTCAAACCTCTAGACAGAGCAATCCCTGCCTCGCTGGTGCACAGACCTGTGCGGGGGTGCTGGAAGACAGTGGTCACCCCAAGGAAAGGGCACAGGGATCCTCATCTTCAGCTGTTGCTGCTGCTGCTGCTGCTGCTGCTGGAGATAGTAGCAAGCCCGGAAAAGGCGGCAGGAAGCCCTTCTCCTCTCCTAACACCCCAGCCTCGCTCCAAGTCTACCACTGCCAGAATCTGGCAAGGACCCAGCTTCCGGGGGAGCCCACATCACAGAGCACAGAGACCCTCCGAACAAGCTGGCCCAGTCCCTCATCCACCCCCGGCTCTGCCTGTGTCTGAATTTCCAGCCCTGGTCTTTCCATGACCATCCAGCCAGTCCACAAGCAGCCTTCCCTTCCCTCGACACTCAGCCAAGACAGACAGCCAGGCACCCTGCCAGAGAGCCAGCCCGCCTGGAGGGCCCACAGAAATGGCGGGTACCCTGAAGGAAGCCACTGGCTGCTGTGGTGGAGCCTAAGAGGGAGGGCCCAGGCAGCCTGACCTGCTGGACCCAGTGGCTTTTTCCCTGGAGAACTTTCCCCTGGGTGGGGCAGATCTCTGGGAGTCAGGAGAGGCTTCTAGAGTGTTGTCCAGACTAGCAAGTAAAAGGCCAAGAGCCAGAGGCTTGGGGAGGCGTTCCGAGGGCCCCCGCATCTCTTGGCCTCTCCAGCCTCTCCCCTGCCTCGTCCATCCTGCCAACCATCCCCTGGCCTCAGGCCTCCATCGCCTCCTGAAGAGACCAGCCTGTCCCTCAGTCCTGGCAAACTGTCCCTAGAAGATACAAGCTGGGCCACAGAGTGCGGACTCAGTGGGCTCCCGTCCAGAGGGCCAGGTACCTTGGGTCTGGGACTGCAGAGTCTTCAGGCCTCACTCAGACCCTCGCCTGGGCTAGATTCTCTGAGCTTTGCTTCTCTATCTCGCCACTGTTTACAGCTTTCTCCACCTGCCCATTGGGACCCTCTCTCTGCCACAGTGACGCTGGGGGAGGTGTGGCAGAGGTGTGTGTATTTGAGCCCCCTTCTCTCTGACAGCACATTTTTGCGTACCAAGGCAGTAGGGCATCTCAGGATGATGAAGGGTGCAGGTGAGGTCATGGAAGAAGCAGAGAGGTGGGAAAAGACTTTCCAGGATGTCCAGATGGAAGGTTGCTCCCTTCTGGGAGAATGTCTAGGGGCTGCTCAGTGATGGAGCAGGAAACCAGTAGGGAAGAAACTAACAAGCATCTGGTCCAGGCTCCTGACAGGAACCGGGTCTGAGGCTGGGCCACGGTGGAAGGCCCAGAAGGTGCCAGGTGATGCCACCTTCACAGTCATCTCTCCCAGGACACTGAGGCTGTGAGCGACTAGCAATTGATGTGTCCAGCAGCCGCCTTCTTTCTCGAGTTGGGGAGCAACACGTATCAAACACCTGCTTTATGCCAGGCTCCGTGCTGTACTCCAGGGCACAGAGACCATAGGGCACAGTGCTGCTTCCAAGAGCTCAGGGTCCTGGCAGGAGGCAAGACAGAGACAAAGAGAGACAATGAAAGTGGAGAGTGACCCTAAGGGAGGTGTGCTGGGGGCTTGGTAGTCAAGGGTGGCTTCCTGGAGGAAGTGACTTTGGTGACATTGTCCCTTGCCTTGCAGGGTCTGGTCATAGATAGGCTGGGGGTGGGCTGGGGGAAGAGGAGCAGGCAGTCAATCAACTAGGACTCAGTGACTGGGGACCTACAGGCAGGAACATGATTACTGGTCACAAAATGTCTATAGGTTCCTGGTGGAAGAGGAGGGTGTGAGGACCTCCCCTAAGCCCAAGTCTAGGGCTCATCTGGCAAATTCCTGGGAACATGGGAAGGGATATGAAGTTAATCCATGGAACTGGGCCAAACAGAGTGGGAAAGAGGAGACCAGGCAGGAGGCCAGGGTGGGTGGGAACCCAGCCTCAGGGCCACTGAGGGAGCAGGACGCCTTCACCTGGCTGCTTTACTGCCTTTCTGTACTTTGTAACTTTTCTAAGGTACTCGGTAGAAAAAACGGGAAAATTTCCCCAAAATGTTCAGTGTTTAATTTTGTACTTTAAAAAAAAAAAAAAAAAAAAAAAAAGAGAGAGAGAGAGACAAGAAAAAAAGGCCTTTAGACATTAGATGGAAGAGATTGTTCTACTTAATCCATTTTATGTGACGTTGTAAATCACTGCTGTTTAGTCAATAAAAAGCTGGGGCAGTCAGTCTGAATTGGCTGATGTGGTCCTGGGGGAGGAGGACACAGGAAGGGGAGGCCTGGCTCTGACTCCTGGCCCCTCTCGCACTGTGCTTCCTGCACTCCCCAGGGAGGCTCGGCACACTGTCGGCCCCGTCCTAGGACTGCTTATAGGTGCCAAGGACCCCCTTTATGACTGGCTCTTCCAGGAGCAGCTGAGGAACAGAAAGGAGCTGAACTGTGTACTTAAAAATGGTTAGGATGGTTAATTTTGTGATGTGCATTTAACCACACTGTTTAACAAGGGAAGTATGTAATGGACAAGAGACCCTGGAAAGCAGCATGTACTGTGCACTCTTGAATGTGAGGGTCAATAGTTTCCTTCATCTTGAAACATCACACTGTCAAAGGGAGGCTTCGTGGCATCTAGGTTACCTTCAGGGACAACACCTGCCTGTGTCCTTCATGAAGCCCAGTCCTTCCGGGCCCTTGGTGGGACTAGGAGACCCCCACTCCCGAGTGTGCTAAAGGCACGAGACTTGCACATCTTGATTTGGGCCTTTTTCTCCCAGCCAAAAGTTTTTGAGGTTTCCTGGTACAGCCTGCAGTCACGCGAGTACCAGAGAAGGGAAGGAGAGGCAAAGCTGTCATGGAAATGAAGGCAAGTAGAGAAGGAATCTGGGGTTGGCAGCACATGAAACCTGCCATGCTGAAGCAATGCCTGGCTATGCAGAAAACCTGCCGCCAGGGTACCCGCTCCTCCCTACTTCCCAGCTCCTCACCTGCCCCAGCCCAAACCCACACTTCCCAGCCATAGCCCAGAGCCCTGCCACACTGACCTGAGAGCATGCATCTTGGTGACACCTTGTTTGCCCTTCCCAGAGGGTCATTACTTGGGTAATGTCTGTCACAGTGGGTGGGTAGTGTCTGTCACAGTGTATGGGTAGTGTCTATCACTCCTCAGCAGCAGCCCAGCCCCTGCAGCAGCCCCCGCCTGCCCATGAGAGGCTTCTGGCTGCTCCGTGCAACGGAGCAGATCCACTCTCCCCGGAGGCCATCCTCCTTATCCCTTCCCATCTCAGTGCTATCTCACCAACCCAGCTGCTTGTTCCCAGGAGTGAACTTCCCATCCCTTAGGGACATTTCCTCCTCCAGGTTTTTCTCACGGAAACTCCCCTCCTGGCCTCTGTGCCATTCCACATGGTTATGGTCATTACGGCCAACACTCACCGTGTGCCAGAGAACTTTGTCAAACCCTCACAAGGACCGGATGATAGAGGAGCCAGCAAGACCCCACCTCCTCTGTTTGATGGACAGGGACACAGAGGCACAGGTGAGTCCAATGACCTGCCCACCAGGCAGAGCTGG